TCACCTGTACTAGCAGTGACTTTTAGCCATTACCTGCCATTTATATTAGCACCTGTACTAATCAATCACTTGATTAAGTTGCAAACAATAATAACCATATCAGGTATTTCATGGCTCATTGTCATTATCATCATCATCATCATCCTTTAACCATATCTTTAAATTTAGTGAATCTACGTTGCCGCTGCTCAGTCAAATTCTCACTATCCGGGAGAGACGGCGATTCGAATCGATTCCTATCCAGCTGGAGGGGTATTCCTAAACACAAACCCTGCTTCCCCCGTTAGAGTCGCAAACGAGTCACCTTTAGTACGATTCAGGAGTCGCAAGTCCGAACAGATCGACATTCTTAGAGAACCACTCTGCCAAGGTTGTCCGGGACTCTAACCCGCCTTGGACTTATGCCAATGGCTCTCCGCACATCCTTACTACCTCCAGAATGCACGCCACTGCTCGCGTCCCCGGCCTGAGTCGAGCTACTAGGCTTCGTGGTCGGAACGACTTATCCAACCAGCTAAGTGTTAGGCTGCGTTCAACATGATATGAGGACGTACAACGTATCGGTCCTTAAACGACACAGACGGGGATAGATTCACACTCAAGACCTCCATGCCTTGTTGCTGCACTACCATCATCCCGTCTGGTCTCTTTTTCATTATTAACACATGGTTCTTTTTCATGATAGCCATTATAGCCAACCGTGACCAGAGCTCATCCTACATCTCGCAGGTGACAGGAAATCACCCGGCTTCTACTCGTCTAAGCATAGCTAAGCATCATTCGATCCTACACTTAATTAGGATTCATAGGATTTTATCTGGACAAGGTAAGGATATAATGCAACAATTGGTTCCAACCAATTCCTATACTTAATGCACCATCAACAATAAAAGATACTCAAGATATTTGTAAAAACATGGGAGACTTAGGATGCTCCGGGGCTTGCCTGGGATCCGACATAAGTTAGTTCAGTTAGCTTGCACCGTCCTGGTGACATCTCAGGTCCTAGCACTTGCTTAGTCCTTTCATCTTCGGGATAGATCCATCAAACACTGTTTTCGGGTTCGGCTCCAACATCACATCCTTCACGTGGTTCATCTAGCGCACCTAGATGAGATGCAAGATGCATGTGTATGAATGTGATGAATGGTAACACAAGAAGCATCACATAAGCATTCAAGACAAACACAAGATTATGCAAGACATAGACACCAATAGCTATTTAACTAACATCACACAACCTATCATGCTAAGATGGCAAAGAAGACGACAACACCAAGCATGACACAAGTTTCCCAAGATCTCAGGTGCTCTAACTCAGTCATCATTCAAGGCATAAGTCACACTTAACAATATACAAGCAAACACTATAATTGGAATCTGCCAATTTCTGGACATGCAAACAGCAGCTACAAGATTTAGCTATAACTAGAGTTACACAAATCCTAATGACTTGAAAGAAGACATTTTGGAAAGCTTATGAAATTATCTACATTTAATCTATAACCAGAATAGCATGATTCATAAGTTAAGTAGGTCGAAATTGTACATTTACAGAAACTGGTCCACAATTGACAGAGAACAGCCATTTCTGAAACCCAACTTTAAACAGGCATAACTCACAAACTACAAGGCCAAATACCACCAAATTTTAACAGCAGCTAGATACATGAATTATCTACAACTTTTGTATAAACAAGTTTCACAACAAAGCACACTATCATGAAGAACTTTGCTAGGTTCCCAGATCTGTCCATAAACCACATTTGCAAGAAAATAAATATTAACTTATGTTGCAAACACATAATTATGCAAAACCAATTTTACCAACTTGTCACACATGACTAAAGAACACCAGAAAACCTAGTGTCCATGACCAAATAAATTCTTTTAATGCATTTCTTAATTTATTTTAGATAACAAGGTGACTTAATGAACACATACCAAAAGTATACTATAAATTCTACAAAATTACAGTGGCTCACATATCCTCTCAATAGTCTACTGTACAAATTTCACTCCATTTTAATATGTATAGCAACCTCTATGAAAAAGACAAGTTGCTAAAGCAAGAAATCATGTGAGAGCAAGATAAACCAATAACTCACTCATACTTCATCCAATACTCATGAAATTTTTACCACACATCAACTATCACATGAGTAGCATGCCACAAAAATTTCACTTCATTTGGAGCCCTAGATCTGCAGTTATGGAAAATAACAAATTCAACTAGCATTATAACCTTACTGCACAAATCTATTTTTACTGCAACATATTGAAACTAAAACATGCCATATTATAGATCTAATGCATAGAGAATTTCACAAGTATTCCAAAAAGTCCTCATTTGCTATTTTACGAATTTCCTATGAATTACTATGAATTTCCAAAGATTCAGCAAATTTATCGCAAATAGGTCCTTATCAAAGACTATTCATATGAGTCTACGGTTTTGCGTTGGACCCTTGGATTTGCTCTAATTGATGCACGAAGTCCCTCACTGGGGCAAAATAGAGGAGGCGGAGGGGGTTCGCGGTGGTGGCGAGTGGCGCTTAGGGCAATATGGTGTGGGGCCTGCGCGCACCCATGGAGGGCGCAGCTTGGATGGAGGCGACACAAGTGGCGAACCACGAGCAAAGAATGGCTCCAAGCCACCGGCTCCGTGACGTGGAAAAAAGGGTGGCATCGGACGGTGGGTTCGGCCAAGACAGCGACACCCCATGCGGTGAGTGTAGGGTCGCCTCAAAGTCGGGATCTGCGTTTGGCCATAGCCTGGCCGGTGGTGGGGAGGAGGACGGGCAGCAATTGGTCGTGCTTGTGCTGGCCATGGCGTGACTGCGTGCTCAGCACGCACGTTGGAGAGCGAGAGGGAGAGGCAGAGAGTGAGAGAGGAGAGTGGAGAGGAGGGTGCCGGTCCTTTACATCTGCACGCGGCAAGGAGGAGTCTGGCGGCCATGCAAGCATGGAGAGCGCCACGCGACCGCACGCACGCTGGTTGGCACTGTTCATCAATTTCAAATTTCCAATTCTACCTCAAACATACCAATCTGAAACCCATATTTCGTGCCTCAGTAACTTCTAAACCACGACGAGTTAGCAAAAACTCTATTAATAAAAGTTATAGATCTACATACCAGCTCCAACTTTTATTTAGAGGTTTTGGTCTAAATCTTAATGGTTCAAGAGTAATATCAACCCAAAGTGCAAGCACTTGAAACCAGTAACGCGCTTCTCGGACTTAGAAAAATTTTCACTCTCAAAAACAATAATATTTTTTGCTACTTGTGGACTATTTTTAGCAGGTTATGCAATCGAATTAGACTTTTACCCAAATATAAAAGTTGTTTATCTAGTCAAGTACTACAACTTTGCTTAAGGGTGCACTTCCATGCAAAGTTTCTAGAGTACAATTCAAACCAAGTAAAAGTAGCATCACCAAGAAAGCTTAAATCCAAGTTTTAGACCGATGGAGGTATTTTCACATTACTCGCTCAACACCTAACCCTTCATAACTTTTGTTGTAGAGTTCAATTAGAGTTGTTGGAGCAAGGTTGCAAGGTTTGGGTAACGACTTATGTTTCCATTCACTTTATAGTGCAATTCAAGCACTTAGTAAAACCATTCCAACAAGGATATAACTTATCATTTCATGTGACTTTTTGATTCCAAACATCATGAAACTTTTCCAGTGAGCACTATAGATAGAGAGTGATGTGAGGCACATGAAATAAGTTACATTAACATCACTCAAACATATATCTTGAAAAGGGTTATAATGTAAACAAGGTGTTTTATCCAAATTCTAGTTGGGCTTGATTTCATACATTTGACTTTGACATCTTCAACACCACTTGATCTGTCATGTTTGAGCTCAAACCCACTGCTAACAGGTGACAAACACCTAGGGTGTTACAACCTCGCTTGAAGGGCGACGTTCTTCTTTGGCGCCAGCGCCAAAGGATTACATTGCCTCTCGGTGCTGCAAGAGACAAAAAGCATAAATCACGATGAAATTCGACAAAAATCGAGAAAACAGAGCTGATGACTCACCTCAGCACTGTCGAGCAGTAGATACGTTTGGGGGGGTGAACCCCCGACCTCTGCTCTGCCTCGTCGGGGCGAGGCTGTTTTGAGCCCGCCCCCTGCTCTTGGGTAGAGGAGCTCTCTCCCCTCTGCTGGCACCTCGAGCGCGGCGGCAGAGCCGCCTGCCCCTATTGGCTTCTAGGGCAGGCCGATGGTATGGCCTGTCTCCGCCGGCTCCCCGGACGTGCCCTCCCCTCCGTGGAATGGGAAGAGTCCTGACTCCTGCAAGGACGAATCGATACCTGTCAGCACATCCTCGTTCTCTAGGTCATCCCACTAGATGTCGTCGACTACCTCATCGTCGTCTCCATCATCATCATCACCGTCGCTGTCGGTGTCCTCCCTTCGCTCCTGCGCCTGCAGCTTCTGCTGCTTCTTCTTCCTCTTGTCCTCCTTCGCCTTTCTCAGCCACTCGCCCTCGCCGCGATTCACCACCCACGCGGACGAATCCCTCGGCAACAACACCGGGTGATCCGTGAAGATGAGGTCCCTCGGCTAGTCCCTTCCCTCTCAAAGTTAGTATCCAGAGGTCGGGAAATCAATTGAAGGGGAGGTATGAGGAGGGAAAACTTATGAAGATGACATGGCCTGGTTCCGGCCGCATCGGAGGATGTCCCGGCACCGGGTAGACAAAATCGAGGGGGGCGCCCACGTCGTCCCACGAAGGCTCCATCGCCTCCTTAATGCATTGCGCGACCTCGGAGTGGGGGAGTGCCCCCTCAGCAAACGTCGTTCCATCGAATGACGCCTCGGACGCCATCGCGTACAGCGGGAGCACGCGCATCATCAATGATGCCACCCTCCTTGCGTGGTAGGCCCCGATGACGCCCGACCCCTTCAGGCCACTCTCCTTCAGGATGTGGATGGCGGCGATGTGGTCCTGGATCTTCTTCTTGTCCTTCTCCGTAACACCGATGGATATTGCTAAGGAGATATCAAGTGGGTTCGCAGCTAGTTGTTTGATAGCTCAAGTGGACGAAACACTCTGGGATATGGGGAGGCCACTGGAAGGCGACTGTAAATTGCAAATGTTCAAGTTTGATACCAATGAAGGCCGTGACACCTTCTGGCACTCAAGTGCCCATATTCTTGGAGAAATGAGTTGGCATTTCGCTTGTTCATGTCTTTGAGCATGTTTTTTATTTAAACATTGCCATTGCCATACCTTTTCATGCTATTTTGTTGTTCAAGTGAGTTTCAGTATCTGTATGTGACAATTCATTTTCAACTCAATTAGCACTAATTGTAGATGTAAATTTGCAGTCTCTTGAGAGAGCATATGGCTGCAAGCTGTGTATTGGGCCTTGCACCACAAGATGGGAGGTATTAAAATGATCTGAGGACCAATCATCTTAAAGCTTAATGAAGTTAACGTAGCCATCTTATCTGTTGTTGAACTGCTTTCTAATGTTTCCACATGATATGTTAAGGGTTTCTACTATGATGCTTACTACAATGATCTGACTTTAAACGAGGAGCATTTTGGTTTCATTGAAAACCAAGCTAAAAAGGCTGTTGCGGTATGCTTTGAATTTTAACTCATCATTTAAGCTTATTATGTGAACTTGTTTTGTGGGCACTATCTTCCTCGATGGCTTATTTCAATGCATTATATGTGGGTCACAAAGTACATGTGGTGATCCAGAATTTTGGAATCGCTAATGATGTATCCATGTCTTGCATTGTTTTTTTGACACATTGAAGCACTCTAGCTAGATAGATTGTGTTCTTACATGGTTAAATCCTACTTGGTGCAGGAAAAGCAACCATTTGAACGCATCGAGGTCAGCAGGGCAAAAGCTCTTGAAATGTTTGCTGAAAATAAATTCAAGGCAACCTTCCTTGCTCCTGTCTTGTTTGTTTCATTCCTCTATATTGTTTTGCTGCTTATGTTATTAAACATGTATGACCGCTATTCATTCTTTACAAAAAAATGAATTATATGTTCAGGTTGAAATCATTAATGAGTTGCCCGAGGACAAGACCATTACAGTATATAGGTGTGGTCCTTTAGTTGACCTATGCCGTGGGCCACACATTCCAAATACTTCCTTTGTCAAAGCTTTCGCTTGTCTGAAGGTAATGATTCTTTGATTATGCACTAATCTTCTGGTTCTCTTTATAGTGGAACTGGCTATTTCATATGTATACACACATGTAAATATTCAGGCTTCATCATCATATTGGAGAGGAAAAGCAGACCGCGAAAGCGTGCAGAGAGTATATGGAATATCTTTCCCTGATTCTCGACGTCTCATGGTATAGAATATAATTTCTGCTTATGATGCTATCTTCGATGACATGGACAATTGTAAACTGTTTACTAATCTAAAACCCTGCTGAACATGTCTGTTATATTTGCATTTTAGATACTAAAAGGGTGCACTCCAGCAGAGAGCTCCCACTGCATGGGGGTGCAGGGGAAGGGTGTCGATGGCAAGCCTTACCCTCACTTGTGCAATGCGAGGAGACCCATGACTCGAACCTGTGACCTTCCAAATCATAGGCGGTAAGACTCTACCGCTTGCACTAGGCCCGCCCTTCCGGACATTTTAGATACTAGCATAAATTATTTGTTCATGATTCATGTGTTGCACCTGAGTACCGACTAGGCAGAAAGTTTCATACATGATGATATGACATGCACTTTTCCCTGAATCAATACCTTAAAACCATGTCTAAGATCTCTTTGTGGTTTTCGGAATCTGTTGGTTAACATGGGTTATGGGTTTAGGGATAATTTGCACAACACATTTGTGAAACTGTTAGTGAGCGTGTCTCTGAGGCACCGACAAGTTCAGGTAACCGTATAATTATGATTATCAAGATAGGATATGGCTTTCAGATCTGTGTGTTTTGTAATCTGTCCCTGAATGATATGCTTGCATTTTCTTTTGTTATTGTTCTCATCTTTTGCGCCTATGTGTATTACATGATACTTTGCAGGAATATAAACATTTTCTAGAGGAAGCTAAGAAACGTGATCATAGGATACTAGGGAAAGCACAGGAACCCTTCTTTTTCCATGAACTTAGGTACCTTAGCACTCCTTTATGTTTCTTGTCTTGCTTTCATATCTCTAACGCGACATCTCTGGTTAATGGAGAATTGCTGATTGTATTTACAATTGTGCAGCCCTCGAAGCTGCATCTTCCTTCCACATGGTGCTAGGATATATAACAAACTGATGGACTTTATGTGACAACAGTACAGAGATAGAAGATACCAAGAGGTTTACAGTAGTTTGTTATTTACTCAATTGGATTAGATTATAGACATCGCTGTTCAATTCCACTGTTTATGTTCCTTATATGCCTGTCTTATAGGTGTTGAGCCCAAATATTTACAATATGCAACTTTGGGAAACTTCCGGACATGCCGCAAAACTACAAGGAGAACATGTTTGTTTTTGAGGTATGTGCATTCACAGATTATACTGCAGAATCTATGTCAGTTTATTTTACATTACATGTGTCGTAGACTCATCAGTGAGTTACAACCTCTGCTGATTGCTTGTTGGACCAATTCTTGTGCAGATTGAGAAGCAGAATTTGGGCTTAAGCCAATGAATTGTCCCGCCCTTCGTCTAATGCTTGCTAATAGGGTCCGGTCATACAAAGGTGAGTTTCTTCCTAATTATTGTATTCTAAATTGTTTTGTTTTAAGTTAAACTTTCGCTTTCACGACAATAGCTTAAAGCGGTTATGAACCGATAAATCTCCATGCCTAGGGCCATTATCTAAGTGCCTAAACAACTCATGACAGGCCCACTTATCGATAGTCAACTACTTCACATTTGGTGTACAAAAGAACCAAATAGTTATTTAATCTATACTCACATTTAGTCAACTACTTCACAGGTTGGAGTACTAGATAATGGTTCATAACCTTACAAGCTAAAAATGCAATACTACAGGTTATTGGATGTAATATGTCAAGACTTTTTGTCGCCGATACTAACTCCAAATGGAACCGCATGAGCAATTTAAGCTTGACTATTGCTGCTCCAATCATCCTTCACGTAGTATCTTCATTTTGAAGGGCCCCTAAATTTTCTACCTTTATTGTGCATTTGTTGGTTTGTCAAACCTTATGTGTAGTGGTTGGCTTACCTTTGCTACTGAGTTGCCTCTTCGCATGGTCGATTTTGAGTGCTTCATAGAAATGAGCTTAGTAGGGCATACTTACAGGTTTGACACGTGTTAGAAGATTCCAGCAGGTAAGGCTTCTATTCTTTGAGTTGTTTGTTTTTAAGTCCAGCTATATTTAATGATAATTTTGTTCTCTCCATATCAAGGGCGGGCTGGTGCAAGCGGTAGAGTCTTACCACTTTGATTGGAAGGTTCCGGGTTCGAGTCGTGGTCTCCTCACATTGCATGGGGAGGTAAGTGTCGACGAATATATCTTGGCGATCCTCCGAGAGGTATCCCACGAAGGTAGATTAATCGGCGAGATGATGGCGTAATCAAGAACAATAAGACAATAGAGACACAAGAGTTAGACAGTTCGGCCGTCCGCACGATGTAATACCCTACCCCGTGGTCTGCATTGGTTCAGATTAGCTATTGTATGATATTACGTGTGTCTTGAGGGTCCCTTACCCGCCTTTATATAGCCGGGGTAGGGTTAAAAGTCGGTTAGATCTAGGAAATAACTGATAAGTAATAACAGATTATAGAAAACACGGGATCGAGTATATTCTAATAGATCTCGTAGCATCTTCAGGATATCGCCTTTGACATCTTGCGGTACACGCCGAGCAGTACCGTGCACCGTAAGTCTTCGTCTTGTGGGCTGGACCACCCCTGGCGGCGCAGCCCATGGAGTATGTAGTGGGTATCCGGGGTCGTACCCCCCACAGCTAGTCCTCGAGCGCCTTGTATCTGTTGTGCAACGCCGTCTTGAGCTTGTCCGAGCAGGTGTAAACAAAGCCGAGCAGTCAGACTCATAGTCCGACCATTCTAATGAGTCACCGAGCAGTTGTGGACCATAATCGACCAGCTTAACTGTCTGGCCGAGCACGGGCTTACCCAAGTAAGGCTTGCCAGAAGGATGTGAGGAGCTCAAGTTCAAAATAAAAAAATTTCTCGCTGTGAACCAAGTGTGCCCACTTAGAGTCCGACCATGAGAAAGAGAGATAATCTTCTTCAACTTCAGGAGTCACGGGGTCTTCTAGATTAAAGAAAACACACTCACTGCAAGGTGAAGTGTGCCCACTTAGTCCCCGAGCCTGACAGTAGGTGACGTGGTCACGTGGTGCCAGGGTCCAAAAAGTAGAAGAAAGGCAGAAAACCAATTAAGCAGGCAACCAGTCCACAGGCTGAGCCTTGAAATGAAAAGCGCACATTCATCGCAAGGTGAAGTGTGCCCACTTAGTCCCCGAGCCTGATAGTAGGTGACGTGGTCACGTGGTCGTAGGGTCAGAAACAACAGTAACCAAAAAAGTCCCAAGTATGGTGAGAAACCGAATCATAGTGATGACGTAGTCCCCGAGCCACAAGTGAAAAACTCGGATAAATCAAGAAGTGCCGATTAATCAAATCTTGGAGAAAAACCGAGTAATGGTCATGACAAGAGAAATTATCGAGCCTTGATGGTATTGCGGAGAGGTCGGCGAATATTCGTGGGCGCATACCAAGTTGAGTCAAAATGGGCGATATGGGCCACGAGCCATGCAGAAGTTCAGATAACGCCCAAAGACGCCGCTTTGGGGAATTTGGAAGGGTGCAAATCAACGTGGTGCGGTTTCCCAAAAACCCTTGAATGCAAAAAGTGGGGAGGGTGTCTTTATAGCTGCGTCACATCAAGACCAAGGCCCCACCTTTGCCACTCCGCCACTTCGTCTTTCCACCGCGCCTCACTCCCCATTCAGATTCACAGCGCGCTCCGCCGCTAGGGCTAAAAAGCTTATGAAGGGACCGATTCTGATCTAGATCTAAGGGATGGCGCCAAAGAGGGGAGGAGCTAATGCGAAGAAGGCGGCCACCGGGGCGAGCCATGCCAAGGAATGGGTACCGTCACTCATGGGGGAGACAGAGCTCAACGAGATGGTAGAGGTGGGCGTTCTTCCTAATCGTGTCACCACCGGATGGCGTCCGACCGACAGTGAGCCCTATCCGATGCCACACACCGATGAACTCGTTGTCTTCGAAGATTATTTCTGGTGTGGATTAGGACTTTCGATACATCCTTTCTTGCAGGATCTATTGGAGTATTGGGGAGTGAGCTTGTGTAATCTTCATTCGAACACTATTTTGCACATTTCTGTGTTTATTCACTTCTGCGAGGTCTATCTTGGCATTCTTCCCCATTTCAATCTCTTCCGACACTTTTTCTGGCTGAAGAAGAAAGGATGGGGCGGTTCCAAAGTTGTTAGTGGTGTGTATCTGCAGCCTCATGACGGGATGGCGAATACATTCCTATGCCATGAATACCTTGTCAAGGGGTGGAATACCGGTGGTTCTATATGAAGCGAGTCATCCTACCATCCGATGCGATGTCACCAGATTTTGAGAATCAAAGGAGCTGGTCGGAGAAGCCACCAATGCCGATATGGAACAGTGAAGGAGCTCCTCGAGCTAATAAGGGGCATGAAGATGAGCAGAGTGGTGGTGGCGGTGAACTTCATAATCGCGCCGCTGCCTAGCCCTGCAAGGAGAGGGCTCATCCGGGCTTGGACTTCAAAGGAGATACTGACAGCACCAGGGAGAGGACGAAGGAGGCTACGATACACTAGGCCGCTGAACTATTCACTCCAAACGTGTCGTGCACCATGCCAGGGCAGCCGAAATCCTACAACTGCACGAACCCACCTCCTCAGGTATAAATCTCGACTGTTGTTCCTAGTGTTTTTGATCCCATGCCGGTGCTAAGCAAAGGACTAATTCACTTGTGGAAAGATGCATTTGCGGGAATGGGTGGCGATTTTCTCGGGCATGCCGAGGAGCGACACAAAAGCAATGGACGCCAGGACGACCACTCAGCCGGAGGAAGAAGGCCAAGACTCGTCCGAATCCAGAGGCGAAGGTGCTGGTCAAAGGAGAGTTCCCCAGTATCGGAAAAAGTTTAGGGGAAAAGGGTGGCGAAAGATGAGCTGGACCGAAAGAAGAGAAGAATGGCGGATGTAGCTCCCCACAAGCCGGTCGGCAACTCACTTGGTGGCGATCGGACCGCTTGGACGTAGAGTGCAGCGATATCCGAAAGTGTTTTCGGACTACACGACGGGCTCCATAGAGCTCCTCCGAGCACTAAAGCGCCATCGCACAACACGCCAGAGAGGTGCAATCGAAGGAGGAAGGAGTCCCCGAGCAGCAAGCAGAGAAGATGTCGACGGTGGGGGCCACAAGACCTCCAGCCCAGGACACGTGGGTTGACCCCAGAGCAGTGCCTGGGTGCTCAGGGAGGCAGCGTCGATTTATAACCGTTTATCGAGAAACTGATGTGTAAGTATCTTTGCTTTGTGATCGGTTGTTGTCTGATCTTTATAGTTGCGGTGATTGATGAGCTAATCTGATGTAGAATGGGGCGCGTAGAGGATCTGAATCCTTCAGGCCAGACTAGCGAGCAGCCGGGGCTATTCACAACATGGAGACATTGTGGACTGACTCCGGCCCAGAGTCCTCGGGCGCTCATTGGTTTGCGGAGGATCCGACCACCACTGCTGATGGAGTTGAAGGTGGAGAGCGGTTGACGACAACAGCGGGCGATTCAACGAAGACGCCAAGAGCAACGGCGAGAGCCACCGAATCTTTGAGGGCGTAAGTAGGAGCTGCCGATGTCGTGCCAGAATCTAGGGCGTTGAGGCCAGCGGCGTCGAAGGAGCAAGCGGTGCGCCTTGAGATGCCGCAGGGCGTGGTCGGTTGCTCTGTGCGGCCACCAAGCCCCCAGGGAGCACCACCGGCTATGGAGGAAGAGGACGAGGTCGAGGAGATTGAGCGTGAAGGATCACGATCTCAAACCATCCGCATCTTCCACAAGCGAGGGGAGGAAGTTGTGGTCGTGGAAGAGGAGGACACCACTAGGGAGGTGAAGAGGCTACCGTCCACCCTTTCCATAGCTATGAAGCAAATTGAGGTTAGTATTACGTCAGCGGTGTCCGTCTTTGGCATTGGAGACTGTGGTCCTTTATAATCTTGGTGCATTGCAGATATAGCGCGATACGCCATACGGCGGCAGAGTTGATCAAAGGATGGAGCCCTCATT